CATTACAGGTCTGAACCACAATAGACTAAATATGTTGAAACATAATTCCTAAAGCTACGACATTTGGAGGTAGGGACCTTGAGAGGTAATTACATGAGAAGGTGGCCATTTATGAACAAGGGAGCAAACCCTCATTATAACTTGACTAGTCTAACAACCTGATTTTAGACTTCCAGCCTCTAGAACTATAAAATATAAATATCTGTTGTTTTTAAAAGCCATATAATATATGGTATTTTGTTTTAGAAGACTTTATGGACTGAGACCTTTCTTGTTTGCATGCCTATGTCTAAATATCACCATTTTATGAGGACACCAGTTCTATTGGATCTACTCTAGTCTGACTTCATCCCAACTCATTACTTCTGCAATGACCCTGTTTCTAAATAAAGCCACATTATGAGGTAATGTGAACTAGGACTTCAACCCGTTATAGTCCCTATGCTTGAATTTTGTTTTTGTCTGATTGGCTGTTTTTCCTTAATACTAGTATTGAATAATTTAGATGATTAAAATGCACTAGTTTTTATCACTAGGGAATATTTATATGTGTGGAAACAGAAATTGGGGAAAAAATAGAAAGAAAAATATAATAATAATCTAGGTTACCAGAACTTCTTGCCTCTGATAATCTATATACTGATATTACTGTACAGTTTTTACTTATTTGAAGCAGCTGAAGTAGATGGTTGATCCTAATAAAGTCTGCCTCTTTCTCATGAGTCCACTAAGTAAGTACATGTCACATAGCTATTAAATATCACCTAGCATAAAAATGGGGACAAATAGGAAAATAAACTAACTATGGTACTTGAAATATGCTGATTTGCCCTTTTCTTAGGAGATCTTAGAGGAAGGAATGTAGAGCTTCCCTAGGGTAAGATGAGGAGTAATGATTGCTGATATTGGCCTAAAATTAAAATTAAAATTCCTGTTTAATTTGTTTCCTGCATGAGAGTAAGCTCAAGTTGTAAAATATGTTTCATGTATGGTATTCAGTTTATCAGGAAAACAAGGTACTGTCCATTATCTATATTTATATAGGTATTGCCATCTTTCAGTGTTTCTCAGTTGGAAAGTTCCCTAAAAAAGATACTTTTTTCTTATGTAATTTTAATTGATGTAGGCTTAAATGCAATTGATCTGAGCATATTGATTCATGTCACTGAAAATAATGGTTATAGGGCTATAGAGAAGTCTGGTATTTAAATGCCAGATGTTAAACTATTTTTTTGTGTATGTGTTGAATTGAATTGATAAGTGACCCCTAACCTTAATGCATCCCATAACCATAAAAAGCAGTCTTTTCAAAAATTTATAATACCTCATGAAACACTGGTTTTAATTTACTTCTTGAAAGACCTCTCTGAGAATATTTGCATTGTCAGCAACTTAAATTGACCACAGAAATGATAACTAAATAATTTAGAAAATTGTAAGATGATTTAGGCATTTAAGATGTGTATAAGGTAATTAAAACCAAACTTTAGAGGGCTAAGGCCATACTGCAGTGGGTTATTCTACAGCTGGGGTCACTGCCTAAGTTGTATGAAGGCATATGTTCAATTTACAGTTGTAATGAGTAACACGGGATGTTTTGATTTTTCATTTGTTGTGCTCATCTCTGGAGGATGCAGTTGCCTACATTAAAAAATGAACATGGGCTCTTTGTGGAGGATAATAAAAATGTGTAAAATAATACATGCCACATGCATGTATGGTTGGCATATGGCTTTTCTCTGAGTATAGAATTGTTGCCTTTAGCTCCTATCATGATGCAGGCTAATGGAAATGTTCACTATTATCCACTTAAGAATGAGACCGTTTCTTTGATCTCATTAGTTTGATCATGATTATTCCATTTTAACTAATTCATGGTGCTTATGCATGAGTTTTTAGTAGGTTATTCACTTTCAGGGCATTTTATTTTATATTTTATTCTAGTCTGAAAAAGGAAAGAGAAATGCAGGTTACAAAATTTCCTTTTGAGGACTGGGTTGTGGCTCAGTGGTAGAGTGTTTGCCTCCCACGTGTGAGGCCCTGGGTTTGATCCTCAGCACCACATATAAATAAACAAATAAAATAAAGGTATTGTATCCATCAACAACTAAAACAAATGTTTTTTAAATGAAATTTTTTTTTTCTCATGTTGAATATATATAAGACAAATTGAAGGACATAAAGCAAGTCATTTCCTTTTTCTAATGAATGACACTGGTGTTTCTGATTTTTTCCCCTGTATGTCGATTTGCTTGAAAATACTTCTACACACTTTTGAGATAAAATTAAAGAAATACCTACAACATCATATTATGTCACTGTTATTCAGTATAAACTTTCATTCATCATAATTTATCTTTACAGAACCACAGTGAGTCTGGCTATAACCAGGGCCCCACTCCTAGCTTAAAACAAAACAAAACAGATATAATCTTCTATTTTAAAACAGAGGCCTGAAAGAAAAAAAAATCTTTAAATGTCTCTGATTTGGACAAATAGATGAAGAATAATTAGAACTGGTAAAAAAAAAAAAAGAGGGGGGTGGGCAGAAAGGAAAGAAACAAATTCTAGCCAGTAGTCTCTTTTAAATAGATACAGCTAACAACCACTATGCTTTTTCCTAATGCACTCCTGTTCACTAACCCCAATCCTGGGTGCTTCCAAAGTCTACACTCTGGTTTTCTGGTGGTCATGTGAGTTAAGTGAGCCAATCACAATGTCTGTATCTTTGTCCCACTGATTGGTCTGGAGGTTGGGATGCTATCTGTACCTGATAAGCAAGAGTTATACCTAGGATATTTCTATTGTTGGATTTTGAGGAAAAGGAGTTTTGGGTTGGGAAGTTGGAAAGAAGTGAATTGGAAGCAAGCAACAATCAAACACATAAAGTCCATCCAAGATGAGAGCAAGTGGGTGTCAGAAGAAGCAGATCTTAGTTGTTTCATTTCCCAGTTCTGGTAAGAACTCTGGAGTTGCCCTCCCCACACCCTCCTGGAATATGTCTTTCTTCTTCTTGCAGCTTGGTTTTAGTTGCAAAAGTCCTGTCTAGTAAAATAAATATTAAGAACTTTAATGAACATGGTATTTGTAGGTATATGTGCTGTTCTATGTGTACAATAATCTTCTCAAAATATTTGTAGCTTCTTACATATGTTTGTTTAGACAAAGCTTGGACTAGTTAAAGACTTTCTGATATGGAAATGGTTAATCATGTCTCTCTGAATAATCATAAATACTGAATTAACAACATCCAAATTATTATTAGAAATGTGCAGTATTAGTACAGATCCATTTACTTTGTGTCCATAAACTTGCCTGGGTCCTGGAATCAACTTGTGCTATTATGAATTTTTTCTCTCCATTTTTCAAATGAAATTTGTGGGCCTATTCCATCCCCTTAAAATCAGATTTTTCAGCCCCCCACCCCCCGCCCCCCGGCTTTCCTCCAAAAGTCTCTCATTGTTTCACAAGCCATCCTTGTTTCCAATTCATTCTTCTTTATCCACTGTGTAAACGAGGTGGACCTGAATACTTAGGAAAATCGAAAGCATTTGGTTGTTATTAGAGTAAGGATAGACGACTCACACATGTAAAACATTAAAGAAACCTTACAAATGTTTGAGTACATTTTTTTCCTGTTGTTGTTGTTGGGGCATTTAACCACATCCTGACTTGCACACCACCCTCCAGCTTTTCTCTTCATTATCAGGTAGAGTTTTAGGGTAATAAAACAAACAAGAACAATATTTTTATATTATTTTCCCAGCATTTTTATTGCTTTTATTTAAATGTAACATACTATACACTGTTCAGCCTTTTGGGAGGTAGGAGGAGGGAGTGATTCTGTACCTTTAGGAGTCGCTTCCTCAGAACCCACACTGGTATGGACACATATTTGTGGCTCATGCACCTGAATTTCCTGGGCCAGGGCCCATGCTTCCCACAGAGGTAGAGCTCCCAAATCTCTACTTTTTTTTTAACCTACAACATTCAGGAATTGAACTTCTTTTCCTTCAGTAGTTGCAAAAGGGACCAGAATTCTATATCAATATTCAGCAGAGATGACATTTTTAAATGCAAAGGAAACTCATACTCCTTACCAAACCATTTCTGTCTTTACCTCTGTTGGGGTGTGGGGTGGGGAGTGGAGCGGGGTGGGAGGAGAGATGTTTTCTATTTTGGGACACTGCAAGCTTTGATACACTTTGCTAGAAGCTGTCTTGAGGACCACAATGATGACTGTTTAAACAGTTTCTTGGGTAATCTAAATGGCTATGTGAAGTAAGAATCCAGTTTGTGCCCTGTCTGCTGTCACTGTGGTCATCAAGTACTCTATTTGTTTCACTAAGTATTTAGTTCTTGTTGTGGGTGGTCCACGTTGATGCATCAGGTGCAATTATTATTTTAAAATAAAAGAAAAAAAAGATACCTAGTTTCCATAGGAATGTGTTACATTATAGCTCTCAGATTCAGTTACCAATGAAATTTTTAACAAGCAGATCCCAACCACAAAAATCAAACATTTTTAGAATCCTATTTGTCAAAAAACAAATTGGAACAAAGTATCATGAGTTGCAACTTTAGGCATTGACCAGAACAATGTGCCTCAAATGCATTTCTTTTGAAATATCAACTCCTTTAAGGAATCATAAAAATAGACCTTTATGAAATTACTTTAAGGGAAATTTTCTTAATAAAGCTAATTTTTAATTAACAGGTTAGCTGGAAGTGCTAGTTAAGCATCAACACAAATAAGTTATAAGAGGTTATAACAAAACACCGGCCTTTCTAGAGGTTAAACTTCAGTAAAAAGACATATTTGGGGAATCTTTTCCTTGTACCAAAATACTGTGTCCAAACAATAAAAATAAACAGACTTTTTCAAAACAAGAAATATGAAGATAAAACTGCAGCATCAACATAATCTTATAGTTATCACTTAAGTATTTAGAACAAATAATATTTTTCTACATTTTTAAAATTACTACAGACACTGCAAATAAGGCTTATGTATTTATTTAGTGGAATACATTGTGATGACGACTGGTACACTTATGTACTTATGTACTGTTTTCTATACCTGCTCTAACAAATGAATTTCAATATGGCTACATTATGGAACTTTCTAAAGCTCTTTAAATTTACAGAAAATAGGTTCATTTGGTTTTGTAAAGACTAGATCATACAGCTTGAACAGGTTCCAGTATATGGTTACACATATACCAGGATACATTTGCTCAGTTTAAGCCCCTGGGAGAGTTGCACTTCATACCCATTTCCTTGATGGTTCTTTGGGGGAGATGCACTATGTGGGACTTACAGAGGGTTCTTCCATTTGCAGATAGCCTCTTCATCATTTATCACTGTGACATATGGCAAGAAATCATGAGAAAGTAATGAGGCTAGGCTACAAAAATGCATTTAACAATTCACTTTCCTTCTTTAGTATATTATTGGAGATGAATTGATGCATTCAAAGAGAAGAGTTTGGCCTTCTCATCTATTTCTTAGAAAAGGAAGTGATATATGTTTTTAAATGATGGCAGACAGATCTCATTCAAGCCATGGCAGAGTACTGACATTTTTATTACTGATGGATCTTATTGCAGAAGTGCAAATTAAGTCAACTGATAGCACATGGGGAGCTCACATTGCTTTCTTAATTTCATCTTCTATTTTTGAAGTGTTTGCCAAGTTTTATAAACACTTTGTCATGAACATGCATGTGGTGTGCTGAAGAAAAAAAAGAGAAGGTAAATCAGAGGGCAGCTGCTGAGGATACTCTTTAAAACCCCAAAAGATATTTAACATCCTATTAAATAAATAACTTAGAAAGAAATAGAAAAGGATGAAGGCAGAATGCACAAGCATACCATACTATTCGTATTGTTAGAACAGTTTCACACTAACACATTTATATTTTTAAATCCTATCCAATTCTTCTATGGTGCCACACCCAAAGCTCCTTTGGTTGCACATATGATATGACCCAAGTGCTTTCCAGTAAATGCTTGCGTGTCTTACTGCTCATTGAATCATTAGGCTTGAATGAGCAATGAAAGTCTTTGATATGAGTTCGTATTCCATAAATAACTTTCCCGAAGATCATTCAACAGATTGTTCCATGTCCTTTAAGTTCTGTCTCAGAGGTTCACAAACAAAACAACTTGACCAAAAAACCCAGCCATAATGTTGTTCTCTTGGGAATAACTTCTATCCCGTTTGATCTGCCTTTGTCTTAGTTATAAGGCATGACACAGAGCTAAAGAAAGAACATCATATGTCAGCAGTGAGTACAAAAACCGTCAAAGGCTTCCTTTCTTTTAAGGAGGCAGATGTCTGCAGTGTTTCTTTGCCTTTCGAGCTACTGTCTCCATGAAGGATACTGACTATTCCTGGCCAAAGAGCCTTTGGTTCTTCTGCTTCCACAAACATTGCCTTCCTCTATGAGTGGACCACCATGGGAAGAAAGTGAGCTGAGGTGTTTTTCCTTCGTGTTTTCTGTCCTCTCCTGGGAGCTCCTTTTCCATTCAACGCCACGTACATTTGCCTGCCATTGTGCTGCCAGTTAAAGGATGCGTAGGTATTGTATCCATTTTCCTCTATCCTCTCCTTCAGCTTACAGTCGTTGTTAAATTCTTTCTGCAAAGGAAAAACATAACATTTTATTCCTACAGTGAGGCTGCTTGATTTCATTTAACACAAACTATCTAAAGAATGCCAGTCAAAGGTCTTATTTGCTGTTGTCATTTTTATATAAGTTGTGCCCTTAATGTATAATGTCACTAACAGGGGAGTCAAGTTCATAGCCACAAACAGATTCTGTGTTTGAAAGCATATGATCCATTTTAATTAATCATTATAACCTTATATTTGAGTCCTTTTTAAAAATCCAGTGTGCTTTGAATATTACACGGTTTATTCATATAAATCCTAGAATGATTCTTAGGAGCAGACAACCCACTGATGATATCTGTGATGAGCCAATAATAAAGAATGGTGTTATAATCCTTCCTTAGTGGCGATAGCCAGAGATACTGTGGGAAAAAAATAGAATTGCAGGAAATGTGAGTCAAGCTTGCAAACCTTCATATAGAACCACAGCAAGAGCACATACATTGACAAGAAGGCAGATTTCATAGGAACACCACAAGAGTACTACTTAACTTCAAAGGGGAATACTTTCCTCTTTTCCAAATACCAAATACCTCAATTTTAATAAATTATGTACAGTTTTCCTTAACTTGGAATTTTGAAAAATTTTATTCTGAACTTGAAGAATGATTGAAAACTTGGACATGGAAAACATCTTGTTTTGTTAATTGTCATGTCAAAGAAATTATAAATGTGGTAAACAACAATGCCCACGGAGGATAAGACTAAAAACTTGGAAATCCAGTTTGTGGCCATGGCTCCTTAGTCTGTCATCTAAGGTGGACAAGTGGATTGGGAGAGTTTTTAGGGGCAAAGATTCACTTTCATTTTCTTCACAAATCCAGCATCTTACTCTGGAGTTAGTAACAGGGTTGACCCATTGACCTCATGACTCTAGCTTCAGAGATGGCCCTCTTCTCTTATTCTGAAGCTAAGGTAGTTAAGCTAAGGGCTTTTGCCCTTGGGTTCCACCTTCCACATCTAAATCAAAAGCACTATGGGCAAATTTTGGCTGAGGCCTTTATTTGGGTAGTTTATTTCACCTTAGGGACTTTTTGAAATTTCACCTAACTTTCAAAATCCTGAATGAATACATTCAAGTTTCTGTGGGAGAGATCATAATTTTGAACATTATTAGAACCATCACAGCAGATATATTTTGTTAATGTTATCAGCTGTAGTTTCCATTTCTGGAATTCATTAGTCCTAAGTGCTTCTCTTCTATAAAATAATCATAAATTTTTCATTTATTTCAATTTAGTCATCAAATGATCACTGAACTGAAAGAAAGGGAAAAAGGTGAATTATTTAAGGTAAGGCTTTTAATAAAAAAAATTCTTCAGTATAAATACATTTAATCCTCAGCATGGATTTCTTATTCTCTTGAACACATCCCTGTCCCAAACTATATGGTTTTCAAAGCATATATTGTTGATTTTGGGTACCAGGGATTGAACTCAGGGGCACTTGATCACTGAGCCACATCCCCAGCCCTACTTTACATTTTATTTAGAGACAGGGTCTCACTGAGGTGCTTAGCACCTCACTTATGCTGAGGCTGGTTTTGAATTCATGATCCTCCTGCCTCAGTCTTCCAAGATGCTGGGATTACAGGTATGTGCCACCGCACCTGGCAAGAGATTTCTTTCACCAATATTTATATTTATTTCAAAAGGGGGTGCATTTAGAAAGTAAAGAAAGATTGAGACTATTTCAGGTAATATCATATTGGAGATGACATGGTGTATAGAAAAGTGGGAGGGAATATTGATAACTTTTCTTCCTTCAAATGAATTTTTTTTTTAAAAAAAATAGTAGTGTATTATAATTATACACAATAATGGGATTTGTCATGCCATATTTGTACCTGGATATAACATTATTTGATCAATATCATTCCCTAGTGCAATCTTTTTCCTTCTCCTCCCCCAAAATAAATTTATAAGTCATATTTCTTAAAGTGAAGTACACCTGACTCAGCCTCCTTTTCTAAGGTATTTTTTAACATTTGGCCCATAAATGTTTCATACTTCTAATCTCTGGAGGAGGGATCTAGGAATCTATATTGTTTTTACAATGCAGGCAAAGCCTAAGTACTAATGTAAAATAAAATTAAAAAATTAAAGTAAAAAATCTAGGCTAGAGCAAGATCCAAAAGCAGGATTTGGGAAGTTTAGAAAAAGGTTTTGGATTTCTTCCAGCTATCTGGAAAATTTCTTTGTTTCTTAAATCATGCTGTATGAGGGCCTGTTTTACTTAATTCAGTTTTAAAACTTACTTCATTCCGTCAGTGAAGAGGAATCTCAGAATACAATAGATACATTGTTCAGAGAATAAGTGGTCAAGATATAAGAAAGATATATGTATATTTCCCCAAAAGGAACACTGGAAAATATTTAAAAGAGAAGAGATAAAGAGCTAATTTCATCAAACACTTTTGGTACCTAATTGAGAGTTTTCAGGAAGGCTTTCAGAATTGATGAAAATTATATGGGAAAAAATTAAAGACAGGAATTAAAAAGAGTTGTTTTTTATACAAAATTATATTACATATACAATCATGAATTTTGATGTTATACCTTTTAGATTAGTTCTAAATTGTTCTATTCCACTCTGAGCTGGACATCAATTTGAGTAGATTTTTTTTATTTAAGTCACAACTTTTCATTATAATAATGCAAAAATCATAAAACCAGAATCTGGTTAGAGAATTAATTTCTTCCCGAGAGAGGCTGGAAGTGGGAAGCATGTTCTCCAATGGGCTGAGCTCTATGCCCTGTGTGGTTCTAAAATGTTGAGTATATAGTGGGAGACAAGGATGACCTGCCCTTGTTGGAGATCACCATCTAATGGAAGATCAAAGTTCACAACAAACACATTAAGGAGAGATATACTAGATAAGAAATGCTAGCTAAGACCTCTGTGAATAATTCAGTTCATGGACTATGTTGGGGTAGAAGAAAAAAGTGATGGAAAATAGTAGATATTATGTCATAATATTAGTACTATGATGTCAGTTCATTTGGGTGTTATGTTTTAGATATGAGGTGTCCCCCAAAAGCTCATGTGTAAGACAATGCAAGAATGTTCAAAGGTGAGATGATTAGATTAAAAGAGCTGTGATTTAATCAGTAGATTAATCCACTGTTATGGAATAACTGTGTGGTAACTGTAGGCAAATAGGGTGTGGCTGGAGGAAGTAGGTCACTGGTAGTGTGCTTTTGGGGTTTACATTTTGTCCTTGGTGAGGAAACTTTCTCTCTCTGCTTCCTGTTTTCCATGCCTTGAACTGCTTTTATCAGCCACACCCTTCTGCCTTGATGTTCTGCCTCATCTTGGACCAAGAGCCATAGAGTCAGCTGACCATGGACTGAAACTCTGAAACTATGAGCCAAAATAAATTTCCCTCTTCTACATTGTTCTTGTCAGGTCTTTTGGTCATGGAAATTGAAAGCTTAATCAAACAGAGTTAGCTATTTCTTTTTAATGTTACATTTATAAATAATTAACAGTTAAATTAGTTTAATATTTTATTTCAATTAAAATTTCTTCTTTAATTTAATAGTATTATCTAGCTTTACCTTAAAGCACTGATTTTTGACTAAATGTGTTTATCAGTAAGAAATATACATCTACTCCTCCTGCACAGTAACTAGCAAAATAATCTAGCAGGGACCTAGGCATGTTTAATGGATCTCCCTTCCTTCCTTTCCTTTCTTTCTCTTCATATCTCTCTCTCTCTCTCTCTCTCTCTCTCTCTCTCTCTCTCTCTCTCTCTCTCCTTCCTTCCTTCCTTCCTTCCTTCCTTCCTTCCTTCCAGATTAGATCATGCTATGTTGTCCTGGCTGCCCTTGAACTCCTGCCCTCCAGTAATGGTCCCATCTCAGGCTTCTGAGCAGCTGGTGCTGCATGTGCATTACATCATGCCTGGCTCCAGGCATGGTTACTGAAAAGAAAAACAAGAAATGCCACAAAAATGATTATGATTTGGACTCCTAAATGGAATCACTTTTTAAAATGCTCCAGTGCTCCATTGCTCTTAAAAGGTTCATTAATGGAGCGATTCATGATGGAGAATTTGAACTCAAATTACTTTGACCCTCATGGAAAAAAACATTTATCCTGACATCCCCAAGTCCCCAATTAAAATTGGATTTGATATGAATAAAATGCAAGGCTACTCTATGTTCAGACCACTGGTTCTTAACTTGAAGTTGAACCAGCAACATCCATAACATTTTGGATCATGCTAGAAATGCAAATTCCTGAACCCTATCACTGCTCCACAGAATCAGACAATCTGGGTATGGCTACCACCATCATTTTAAAAAATAAGTCCTCCCGTAGATTCTGATGCATACCCAAGTTTGAGAGCTACCAGCTCTGGGTAGTCATTATACTCAGCCTTATTCAAGAAAGTAAGCTTATTTATAATTTAAAGTAAAATTATTTTTGATCCTACAAAAAATGTAAAAATGATACAAGATATGGCCAGAAAAAATAGGATTATTTAAGTGAACTGTGTCACTGGCAATTGAGATTGTTATATATTTTCCAAAAAATGCAATTAAAATTTTATATAGCTAACTTCAATGTACTCCTCTAAGGTGGAAACACAGAAAACAAAACAAGTCAAAGCAAAACACACAGAAATATTTAAATTCATTTAATACCCCCCTGATCTGGCTCTGGGATTGACACAAGGAACATATCTACACTCATGAACTGATCTACTCCTGTCATCATTTGCATAGACTAGAACTTAGTTTCTAACTTTATCATAAGTCTATTGCATTATTCCTGGCCCTTCCTTTAAACAATTAAATGTTCTATATTTACATTGGACAATTAAGTGTTCTATAGTTATTTTGTTTTTGTTACACTGTCCTATGTATATTGTAAATTACTTTTCAAGTTAGTCAAGACTCATTTTCTATACTTCTTTCTTATGCTTCTTTCATATGCCATGTAGTAGATGTTCAATTGATTGATTGACAGGTTGTCTAGAAATCTCAATAAGATAAATTGTCATACTACTCATAATTTAATTTTAAAAATTTAAGTCTAAAATAGCTGCTTATTATTTTTAAATTTTTTGTTGTATGTAACAGAGTACCTTTACTTTATTTATTTATTTATTTATTTGATGATGAGAATCAAACCCAGTGCCTCATACATGCAAGGCACTGAGCCACAACTCCAGCCCCTAGCTGCTTATTATTTTATATGAGACTTTATAGTCTAAGAGAATTGGTCTAGATGAGTTTGCATTAGTGATATTCAAAATAGTTAACCCTACATATGGTAGACAGGTATGGATCTACCCAAGGAACTGACTGAATACTGGCACCACAAGGACCTACTGCAAAAAATAATATTCTCACATCTATCTATAATTTTCAGGCATAATTTGAATCAATTACCATTGTCTAGATATATAATTCTGAATGACCTGCAAAATGATGACTTTCTTGATGTTTTCCCATTTGGGGTTTTAATAAAATACAAAACATTTGAGTTCCTATTTTATCTTCATTTGTAACACACAAATACATAGTATATTTTTTTCTACTCAGTTCAGGATCTTTGTTTTTAATGATTCTTCTCCTAGTTGTCTGCCGCTCCCATGCCATCTGACCAGATGCTTCCGTGAGAGTCTGACTAGTTAGAAGTTCAGAACACTCACAGACAAATGCCAGAAACAGCCTGTGTGGTAGACTAATGGGTGAACAACAGAGGAGATTATGGGGTTGGAAGAACTGCTTTGCCAGCCCTTGAGACTCTGGTGGCCAGACCACTGTAATTCTATTTACCAGCAAAGGATGATAACAAAGATATTCAATGTCTGGAGGAAACATTCCAAAAGTGTTGATTTACTGCAGTGGACTTTAAAAATGAAAGCACAATACTTACTGAGCCATAGAGTTTCCCCTTCTTGTTCATGGCTAAGTAATAGTTGCTGTTAATGGCTTTGACAGCTACAACTCCAATTTCCACTGATGTTATCTCCAGGATACCTGAAACATATAATTAAAAAAAAAAAAGATTAACCATGAAAAGTCACATAAATTGAGGTGAAAAAGAGTAAAAACCAAAAGAAACTATTAACTATATTTTTGATGTTATTTAAACACAAGGCAAAAGAAAAAGGGGGTAGGGGGAACTCAACCAACTCTGTTTCAATGTGTTGAAAACCCTAGCAAATATTTCCAGCAAATATGTGGAAACAAGTAGTGAGGTTTTAAAAGGATTCCCTTCCATTTTACTCTGAACATGAGCATATATAGAAAAATATTGTTTTAATTAAAATGCTTCCTTTGCTAACTCTGCATTTTCAACCCCATAAATATTGAAACAACTCTACTCATCTTAGCCTAGATTTCACAAAAACTTATCAGAGTCCACATCTGTACTGTGGCATTAAATTAAATCCATAGCATATGTCAATAATATGTCAGATTTACCTCAATCTGTAAAAACAATGGTGAACTATTTTTTCTTTGTAGGACATTTAAAGTAAATCTCTTGGCTACATTTAACTAATAAATTTATTTTGGGCAAATGTGTTGTCATTCTGAGATAGAGACTGATCCCAACATCCATAGTATCTTTAAAATAATGGAATCAATACACTGAGATGGAAAGTTTTTTCTTCTAGAAAGAAATGAAGTTAAGTGAATTAGTAATTGATAGACAAGATCGTTTCCTTCAAAGACACGTGTTTAGATTGGTGCAGGTAAAGATGATCTCTGAAGAGTTGGTAGGCAGCTAGCTGTAGGGAAGGCATTTGATGTACTCAAAGAGCCCGCTCATTTTCGATCTAAAGATCTAAAGAACTGAAACTACTTCTGATTTAATAATTCTTAGGAAAGCTTGCTCAGGGAAGAGAAGAAATGTGATGATTAGTATGTGGCCTCTGGAGCCAGGGTATCTAGTTTTGTCTCCTGGCTCTGAATTTATTTGTGACTATAGGAATAGTCACTGAGATGGTCCATGTCTCAATTTCATTTGTAAAATGGGCAACACAATAGTATTTCCCTCATAATCGTGTGGAGGTAAATAAGACAGTACACACTAAGAAGTTAGACTTTGCCTAGAACTTAGTATCTCAATTATTATTAGAGGGTCATTTTCACCTAACAGTTCTAGAATAGTTTCTTTAACAGGTTGTGTAAAGCTTGACTATAACAGAAGAATTCCCATTAGCTTAACCCATAAAATCTGAAAGTTGTCATTCATCAAGTATTACCTATCATGAGGAACACTATCCTAACTATAGTCCTAAATGCGGTGTGTTCATACTCTTCTCATGGGGATAAAGTGGCTTATGCTAAAGGCTTGACTATCTTTCTCTACTTCCTTCACAGGGTGGCTTCTTGGAAGCTAATGGAAATGCCAGATTCCCCTACTGCAGACTTGGTAGAATCAGAGGCCTGTGTCCAGGCTGCATGACACAGATCATTCTGTCCATGTATCCTATAGGAAGGACCTGACTTAATGCAGTATACCTCTTCACTGAATTTCTCATTCCATTTGTGAAGCCAAACCAAGGAAAGACCATGAAGGATGAAGGAAATGTTATTTGTATTTTGAAAACCCTGTTCCTTTTTGGTGTAAACACACCAAAATGTAAACACACACACACACACACACACACACACACTCCTGAGCACATCTGGTAGATTATAGTTTAGATACCTCTGGATTTCCTTTCTTTCTTTCTTTTTTTTATTTTTTTAGATATGAAGACATCTTTTACTCATTATTTAAGATGTCAAATTTCTCCCAATTGACCTATAAACTCAGTGCAATCTTTATTATTATTATTATTATTATTATTATACTTTGTTGTATGTGACAGCAAAGTGCATTTCAATTCATCATACACAAATGGAGTGCAACATTTCAATTCTCTGGTTGTACACGGTGTAGAGATGCACCTTCATGCAATCATACATGTACCTAGGGTAATAATATCCATCTCATTCCACCATCTTTCCTATCCCCACAACCCCTCCCCACCTTCCCCTTTGCCTAATCCAAAGTTCCTCCATTCTTCTCATGACCCCCCAGCATCATAGATCAGCATCCACTAATCAGAGAAAATACTCAGTCTTTAGTTTTTTGGGATTGGCTTACTTCACTTAGCATAATATTCTCCAACTCCATCCATTTACCTGCTAATGCCACAATTTTATTCTCTTTTAATGCTGAGTAATATTCCATTGTGTATATATAGCACAGTTTCTTTATCCATTCATCAGTTTATGGGCACTTAGGTTGGTTCTACAGTTTAGCTGTTGTGAATTCAGCTGCTGTAAACGTTGGTGTGGCTATGTCACTATAGTATACTGATTTTGAGTCCTCTGGGTATAGACCAAGGAATGGGATGGCTGGGTCAAATGGTGGTTCCATTCCAAGTTTTCTGAGGAATCTACACACTGCTTTCCAAAGTGGTTGCACCAATTTGCAGTCCCACCAGCAATATATGAGTGTACTTTTTTCCCAACATCCTCTCTAACACTTACTATTGTTTGTTTTCTTGATAACTGCCATACTGGGGTGAGATGAAATCTTAAGAGTAGTTTTGATTTGCATTTCTCTAATTACTGAATATGTTGAACACTCTTTCATATATTTGTTGATCATTTGTACATTTTCTTCTGAGAAGTGTGTGTTCAGTTCCTTAGCTCATTTATTGACTGGGTTGTTTGTTACCTATAGATTTCTTTCTGTTATGCCCCTGCTAGGAAGTTGGTATTCAAAAAATCAACCTATTCAATTAAACTTTTTCCCCTGCTCACACTCTGCAATGGTTCAGGCTACCTTAAAAGGTTTATTTATTTATTAAAAAGTTTAATTTTTAAACTATTACATAAAATTGTACATATTTATGGGGTATCTTGTGATGCTTTGATACATGCATACATTATTTAGTGTTCAAATCCGATGAGCTTATCTACCTCCTTGAAGTTGAAAAGGTTTGGTATTGCTTCAAACTATAAAAAGGGAAGTCCTGGGTGATTTAAGATCCTTTTGAATCCCAGAAATAATATTTTGGGTGCACCACAAATTATAATTAATTGATAAGTTATAATCGATTGTGGAGAGTAGGCTGTGCCCTGCTCTGAGTTACTTCACAATGCATAAGAGTAATTTCAGGCTTGCCAAACCCTAAGTTACTCCCTTTTTTGAAGTTGTACTTTATCATGAGCTACTCTGATTTGAGTCAAAGTGCCAAGGTAAAGTGACTCTATATCCTGGTTGTACAAGTAAACAACCACCATCTGCCTGGCAAAACCAGAAGGCACAAATTGATAAATAATTTTATATGTGCCAGTTTTTCAAACCAAATCAAGAACACACGGACCTGTGGCCATTCCAATCATGTAAGGAACACCAGATATAGGAACTTATCAACCTCACCAGATACAACCTCCCCCCAAGACCTGTAAAAAGTGGAACTCCTCAAGATTAGACACGGGGACACCCTGATCCTATCATTTGGACACTTCTTATGAGTCTTGCCTGGGAAAATTGGCACAGCAAGGAATATCCAATTTCCTGTCCCTTTGGGTTTCAGCATGGTGCAGTTTCTCCTGCCCTTGATGACAGTGCACAGCCCACTCCAAGCTTACATCCTGAAACTGAAGGTGCCATCCGTCCAGACCCTTTGCTTTGGCAACACTGTGGAACTCGTTCATTAGGACCCTTATTGAGGAATTTGGAGCCCGACCCCACAGTATGTAGATCATAGCCAACTTTTTCTTCTATCAGACACCGTGTCTCTGATTTGATATCAAGCTCCTTGATCCATTTTGAATTAACTTTTGTGCATGGCAAGAGAAAGGGATTCAGTTTCATTTTGTTGCATAGAATCAACAAATGGGACTTACTCAAACTAAAAAGTTTTTTCTCAGCAAAAGAAACAATAAGAGAGGTAAATAGGGAGCCTACATCCTGGGAACAAATCTTTACTCCTCACACTTCAGATAGAGCCCTAATATCCAGAATATACAAAGAACTCAAAAAATTAGACAATAAGATAACAAATAACCCAATCAACAAATGGGCCAAGGACTTGAACAGACACTTCTCAGAGGAGGACATACAATCCATCAACAAGTACATGAAAAAATGCTCACCATCTCTAGCAGTCAGAGAAATGCAAATCAAAACCACCCTAAGATACCATCTCACTCCAGTAAGATTGGCAGCCATTATGAAGTCAAACAACAACAAGTGCTGGCGAGGATGTGGGGAAAAGGGTACACTTGTACATTGCTGGTGGGACTGCAAATTGGTGCAGCCAATTTGGAAAGCAGTATGGAGATTTCTTGGAAAGCTGGGAATGGAACCACCATTTGACCCAGCTATTCCCCTTCTCGGTCTATTCCCTAAAGACCTAAAAAGAGCATGCTACAGGGATACTGCTACATCGATGTTCATAGCAGCACAATTCACAATAGCAAGACTGTGGAACCAACCTAGATGCCCTTCAATAGACGAATGGATAAAAAAAATGTGGCATTTATACACAATGGAGTATTACTCTGCATTAAAAAAATGACAAAATCATAGAATTTGCAGGGAAATGGATGGCATTAGAGCAGATTATGCTAAGTGAAGCTAGCCAATCCCTAAAAAACAAATGCCAAATGTCTTCTTTGATATAAGGAGAGTAACTAAGAATAGAGCAGGGACGAACAGCATGAGAAGAAGATTAACATTAAACTGGGATGAGAGGTGGGAGGGAAAGGGAGAGAGAAGGGAAATTGCATGGAAATGGAAGGAGACCCTCAGGGTTATACAAAATTTCATACAAGACGAAGTGAGGGGAAAGGGGAAAATAATACAAGGGGGAGAAATGAATGACAGTAGAGGGGGTAGAGAGAGAAGAGGGGAGGGGAGGGGAGGGGAGGGGGGATAGTAGAGGATAGGAAAGGCAGCAGAACACAACAGACACTAGTATGGCAATATGTAAATCAATGGATGTGTAACTGATGTGATTCTGCAA